CGGACCATAAAAGCCTCAAGTATATCTTCACACAAAAAGACTTGAATCTCCGGCAGAGAAGGTGGATTGAGTACTTGGAAGATTATGAGTTTACGCTCAACTATTATCCGGGGAAGGCCAATGTAGTTGTCGACGCTCTTAGCAGGAAGTCTCGGGGTGAAATCAATTTTCTTATGATAAATAGGTGGAAAATGATTGATGCATTGGAGGAGTACGATCTATGGTGGATGGATCAGAGTATCAACCATATCTATTCAACCTTGTAGCTCAACCGACGTTTCGGCGACGGGTAATGAAGTTGTAATGTCTGGATTCGAAACTCGATTGGATTAGAGCCCGATTGGAGAATGGAGAAGTGATTGAAGGATGGTCTTGGAAGAATGGAGAGTTGAGATATGGGGAGAAGCTATGTATTCCCAATGATTCGTCCCTAAAGGAGGAGATACTGGGAGAGTGTCATCGCTCCAAGTTTGTTATTCATCCCGGTAGCACAAAGATGTATAGGGACATGAAGCGTCAATACTGGTGGAGGGGAATAAAGTGAGATATGGCCAAGTATGTGGCAAAATTTGTGGTATGCCTGCAGGTGAAGATTGAGCATCAAACGCCAGGAGGAGTCCTACAGTCTTTGTTTATTCCAAAGTGAAAGTGGGATCACATCACCATGGACTTCGTATCAGGTTTATCACGGACGTCGCGCGGGCATAATGCAGTGTGGGTCATTGTGGATAGACTCACCAAGTCCACTCACTTTTTGGGTATGAAGACCACGGATACATTCGAGATTTTGAGCCAGCTGTATATCCGTGAGATAGTGAGGCTACATGGCGTTCCGCTCTCAATTGTCTCAGATCGTGACTCTAGGTTTGTGGCAAGATTCTGGCAGAGTCTACAACAAGCGATGGGGACGGAGTTACACTTCAGTACGATTTTTCATCCCCAAACGGATGGCCAATCCGAGAGGGTGATACAGATTATGGAGGATATGTTATGCGCTTGCGCGTTGGACTTCAAGGGGAGTTGGAGCGACCACTTACCATTGGTGGAGTTTGCTTACAACAACAGCTATCAGGAAAGTATTGGGATGACACCGTATGAAGCATTGTATGGAAGACCATACCGATCACCGACGTGTTGGTTAGAAGCCGACAAGAATAATTTGTTTGGACCTGACATTGTTCGAGAAATTACGGAGAAGATTCAACTCATCTGAGAGAGGCTACGGACAGCGCAAAGTAGACAAAAGAACTATGTGGACCACAGACAAAGACCCTTAGAATTCAAGGTGGGAGACTACGTATTTCTCAAGGTGTCACCCAAGAAGGGCGTGTTTCGATTCAACAAGAAGGGGAAGTTAGCACCAAGATATACAGGACCATTTGAGGTAATCAAAGCGGTAGGCAAAGTGTCATATCAACTTCGACTACCAGCCTAGCTATCCAGAGTACATGATGTGTTCCACGTGTCCATGTTGAGAAGGTGTCACTCGGATGCAACTACAGTCGTGAACTTGGAGGAGATTGAAATTCAAGACGGAGAGAACAACCGGTAGAAATTCTCGACGCCCAGGAAAAAGTGTTTCGCAACAAAGTTATCAGATTGATGAAGGTTTTGTGGCAACACCATGGAATGGAGGAAGCTACATGGGAACCGGAGCAAGAAATGCGAGAGAAGTATCCATAATTGTTCATTACTTGAGGTAAGTTTCGAGGACGAAACTTTCTTTAAGGGAGTGGATTGTAACACCCCGCATTTTCTTTTATATATGTATATAGATATATTGTAAATAATTATGGTAAAAATGTGGATATGTGTAGTGATGTGTGTTTGAATTGGGTAGATCAGAAAAGTAGAGATTTAAAATATTAGTGGAAATAATAGTTGCAATTTAGTTTTAATAAGTGAAAATACGAAATTTTAGATCCTTGAACTTGTATTAAATAGGTTTGGTGTAGAAATATGTGTTGGAGAGGTTTGAGATGAATTTGGTTGGCTTAGGAATGGATTGGAAATGGAAAAATTATGAAATAGGACGTGAGCAGTGCATGTGAACAGTGCATTGGCTGCAACTTCAAGTATGATTTCGACCTTGATGCAGTTAATATCTCTCAAAACTCAAAACATGAAAGTTGTAACTCTCTTTCTTAGAATTTCACATCATTTTGAATTATCTCAATTGAAGCTCGGATGAGAGAGTTATTCCCAGATAACAAAGTGATGTCAAAACAGCCCAATTAGCTTGAACAGTGCATTGGCTGCCACTTCAAGCCCAATTTAGACCTTAATTCCGTCAATATCTCTCAAAACTAAAAACATGAAAGTTTTAGAGCTCTTTCTTATCATTCCATAACATCTTGAATCATCACAATCGAAGCTCGGATGAGAGAATTATGCCCAGAAAACGAAGCGACATCAAAACAATCCAATTAGCGTCGTTTTACATTTAACGTCTCTATTTGCATCATAAATCAAAATATAAGAATAATAAGTATATTTAGGCTTCAAATAAGTATAAAAGGCTTTAAGAAGCACTCTTTATCACCTTTTATTTGCAAACAACGCAAAACTTCATTAATAGCCGATTCGGATGGATAAAATAGAAACTTTAGTATTTTCGGGTGTACGTTAACTTTAGTTTTGAGATAAATCATAAAAATAAATATTTTTAAGTTAAAATAACATTAAAAATGAATCCAAAATGTTGAAAAATCTTAGGATAGTCATATGGATCAAATTGGAGATTCTTAGTGGCAAAATCGTAATTTTGGAGAAAATCAAAACAGGCCGTGAACAGTGAATTTCGGGGCTGAGGTGTTTTAAACCCCATTGTCATCCCATTTGCCCTCATTTATTTCACTCCACTCTCTCCCCACACCTCTTGGAACCCTAGAGAGCATTAGAGAGAAAGAAAGGAAGGAAAAAACAAGAGATTTAAGGGTAGATTCAAGATCAAAGCTCGAGTTCTTCCTACAATCTAAGAATTCAAAGTAAGGGTTTTCTCTCATTCATTTACATTGAGGCTAAGATATTTATATATGTATGTTTGGCTATCAATGATATATATATATATGCTCTGGAATCATCCTCTTTTAGGCTTTTTACAAGGATTACATATTTTGAACAAAGTAGGGTTTAATACCCATGAAATCTCCTTTATAGTTTTAAAACCCTAATTTTTGGAGAATGATGTATTTCCTTCCTAAATGCTTTTTTTATTATGGATTTCGAAACCTTAGTACTTTGTGTTAGGTAGAAAAATGATGTTATTGTGATCTCATGTATTTTCTTAGTTGGTTGTAGAATTGTTACATGATATATTTTGGATAGATGCTTGTAAATTGAGATAAATGTTAGAATTATATGCTTGGTTGGGTTGTTTGTGATGCACATGAGTGAGAGGTTCCTTGTAAGGATGCTCACCCCTTCCCAAGAGATTCCCGATAAGAATGCTTGGAAATAATGTAGTGATTAGGGAGAGGTTCCATGTAAGGAAACTCATCCATTCTCAAGAGGTTCCTAATAAGGATACTTTAGAATCAAAGGTGACCGAAAGGGGGTGAAGGTTACCACAAACTATGTCACCTACCAAAAGAATTGTTGGGAATTGGTTATGACAATGAATAGTTATTATTTGTATGTGGTGCTCGTTTATTCATTTAAGTAATATTTTTAAATAAACTTGAGATCTTTTTTAAATGTCACTGCTTTATTTCAAATTATGTATTTATGTTATGTTAAAATTAAAATCGACTGTTTTAAATGTTTTTTTAAACCTTGTATGGGTTTGAGAGAATTGTTCTACAGAGCTTCGTGGTCACCCCCTATCGCTAACATTTTTCAGATTATCCGCTTGAGAAGGAGGACGTAAGAGTCGAGGAGCCCTCTACTTGGGAGACTCCGCTGGACGGGAGTGTGGATCCCGAGGTGGACGCATAGAGCGAGCTCCTTTCCTTTTGTACTAGACTAGGATATTATTTTGAAACATTATGTAGTTTAGCTTCTTTTGTTTATTCCGTTGCACTTCTTTAATTAATTTTTGAGATGTAATAACCATGACTTGGGTTTATTCTTTTGGATAATGTTGTAAATATTCGTAGATGACAAATGAAGTCTTGTTTCTTAAGGGATTATATTAGTGCTCTCATGATATGAATGATTTTAGAATGTAATGTCGTCTAAGATGTGTTTTGGGGTGTTACAACAGCACAACAGTTGAATCCATGACAAAGAATTTGAGGAATTTTTTTCAAATTCTTTTCGGGGAAAGGGGAAGGGGAAGGGGAAGAAAATAGGGAATAAGATTGGAACCAACCTCGACACCTCTCTCTCTGTGCAAGAAAGGCGTGCACAGTGCATGTGAGTCAGCAATTTTGTGGTGTTTTTTTTTTAGGGCTAATCTCATTTTATACTTCAAAAGATATTTTAATTCTTTATATGTACCATCAAATATTAAAAAATTTAAATTTTACGTTTGATATTATGAGTTAATAGTAATATGAACCAAAACAAGACTATTGTTCACTTTTTTGTCATAAATTAAAGAACGTCATAAAGTACAAGTACTTCGAATATGAAAAAGATAAAGTATGTCCATCATTACAAATCTTTATCTGTGATCAATTTGACACTAATGGATTTTATTGATCAAATATAAGCTAACTCTATCATGTGTAAAACTCACATGATTTGTTAATTAGTCTATAAATTTACACATAAGCTAATGTCTGAAGCAATTGTAAGTCACGTATTTTAATTTATGACAAAAAATTGAATGGCAATTTGAGTCAAATATACATTACTACCAATGGTCTACATTTCTACAAATTCATAACGTTAAAGGTATAAATTAAAATTTTTTATGTTTGATAATGCAGATTAAAAATTAAAGCATCTTTCGGGGTTCAAAATGAAATTAGCCCTTCTTTTTAAGCTATTCTCTCTCTCTCTCTCTCTCTCTCTCCCTCTGTTGAGACAGTTGCATAGTCTTTTTCTGTCACGCCATGCGCTCAGTAGCTTTAAATCCATGTAAAGAATGGAGCCCCAACCCCTCACCACTCCTGCTCGTTCTGGTACTCTCTCTCTCTCTCTCTCTCTCTCTCTCTCTGAGAATTTGTGTGTAGTATATGTGTACAGGGTGTTTAGTTTGCTATTATAATTTCTGATTAAGGTTTACCGTGGATCAAGCTTGGTCTTGGGATTGATGCCTTTGGTTCTGGACGGAGCCATGTGAATGCGATCACACACCATGGAAAGTCTGCGTTCACAGCTGCACAGGAGTATGAGCTCCATCAACAAGCCCTTATCTTCAAGTACATGGTCTCTGGCCTCCCTATTCCATTTCACCTTGTTCTTCCCATTTGGAAGAGTTCTGGAAGCTCCATTGGCGCTGCCAGTGGTGGAATCCATAACCAATTTCCAAGATGTAAGTGGGTTTCTTTGTTTATTTCGTTTCTCAGCTTGTTTATCTGATAATGAATGTTTTGTTTTAGGGTTCTTAAATATATATATGCTGATGAATGTTATATCTTAGGGTTGGAATTTGAGATGGGTTCGGTGTTTATTTGATTGATTTTGCTGTGTTCTTAAAGATTTCTGTGGTAATTTTTGTATGGGTTTTGCTATGGTATCATAGGCTTATGTCTACTAGACGTGAAAGTGAAGATGGATTTTCACCTTATTTATATTCTAACGAATGTTCTGTTTTAGGGTTCTTACATAATTCGACTTATGTAAGTGCTAACGAATGTTTTGTCTTTGGATTGGAATTTGAGATTGTTTGGTGTTTGTTTCACCTATTCTGCTGTGCTCTTAAAGATTTGTTTGGAAATTGTGTTAAGGGTGGTTTTGCAATTTTATGATAGGTGAATGTCTACTAGACTTGAAAGTTAAGATGGGTTTTCATCTTATTAATGTGCTATTGAATGTTCAAGTTTAAGTTTCTTATATATTTTGGATTATGTGTCTGCGAACGGATGTTTGGTCTGAAGTTTGGAATTTGAGATGGGTTTTCATCTTATTAATGTGCTAATGAATGTTCAAGTTTAGGGTTCTTATATATTTTGGATTATGTATCTGCGAACGGATGTTTGGTCTTAAATTTGGAATTTGAGATGGGTTTGGCATTTGTTTGACTGATTTTTGTTGTGCGCTTAAAGATTTCTGTGGAAATTGTGTTATGGGTTTTGCTTTATTATTATAGGTTATATCTACTAGATTTGAAACTTAAGATGGGCTTTTGCCACGAATGTTGCCATATCTTACTCTCAAATTGATAATGGAGATGCCTTTTTGTCTGTTATACTTAAAACTTTTCGATGAACAGCAAGTGAACCAGACCAATTGTGTTGTGTTTCAGATGATGCATTGATACTTTTGTCGCCTTGTGTTATTCACAATGTTATAAGAAGGGTTAATGTATCTTATACTTGCCATTTGGATATTTGATGATTTCGTTTGATTATGTGGTTTTCCATGAGGAACTTAAATATGAGTTTTGGTTTTTATATTGTTGGGTCTATACAGTACTTGGTCTTTAAGTTGGGTTTTGTGGTTTATATTGGTTGTGTTTGCGTCTTTTATGTTTATCTATGAAACTATTATCTCTGTCTTGTTCTTTTGATGCACTTTAGATTTGTGAAAGGTTTATGCTCGTTACATTGATAGTAGTCTTTTTTTTGGGTAAGTTAGATTGATAGTAGTCACTGCCATTGCTTTATACGTAAATTTTTTGTCCAATTGGTTTTGCAGAGATGGTTTGTGATTATTTGTCTTGCTTTGAAATAGCTTATGTTGATTCAATTAGTTTCCTTGATTTCTGTTAAGGTTAAATTAGACTAACTGCCCTTGATGTTTAGGCTTACAACATGGTACCACTTATGTCTGAGAAATTACAGTGACCCCCTAGAGCTAGAGGTTGTAATCACTATTTTCTGATGTCATAACGAAAATCCCAGGAAGGCAATTTTCCCCATCGATGTTCCAACTGATCAATGGAATAGGTCAGCCATTGGCTCAATTCTTCTTCTTTTTTTCTTTTCTGTTCAAACCAATGAGCACTTCCTTACCTATTACCACAACCCATTCTTTTGAGGGATATGGACCATATTCTCTAAGTTCATCAAGGTGGGTGGGAGTTGCAACTTATTCATATATGTAGAAATTTGGTCTTGTATGTTGAGGGCCACAATGGGATGATAATGAATGGTGGACATGCAATGTGAAACCATGGTAAGATAGCCCCCAATTATCATACAGATACACAAACATACAAAGGCAAACATAGTAGAGTGATTCCAACCTTGATTCATGTTTGATGATATAATGGGGATACATTCCAAGAATCAATGGTTGTAATATGTTGTGAATGGGCTCACACCCTACAGGTTTTAAGTTTTTAGATTAACAAGAGTTTCAAATATGTAATTTAACCACAATCAGAATATCCATATTGGGCATGTTGTGTTGGACTCCCCTTGTGTCCAACCCAAATGTAATGGGTGTTTGGTGCAACGGTGGAGGGAGGAAGTGATGTTGGTGGTGGTGCTCATTGTTTAAAGTAGTGGCTAATATCGATACTAGTCGGCACCTTCCAAGACGATGCCGTTACATGATCCATATAAATCTTGAATCTCGCACTACTCGGCCGAATCGTCTGAATTGTATCTTAGTCAATTCTGAGTTATCTTTACTAAATTGACCGATACGGTTCCACAATGTCTCATTATGACTTGAATCTCTCATCGTGCTCAACATTTTATTTTAGGTCGTATTGTTCGATATCGTGACACCACAATAATCTCACGATTATTAACTATTAAGAGGGGTGTAAAATTTTTTATTTTGTTTTTGTGTTTTTTGTTATGTAACTTGTGGATTATGAATGTTAATGGATATAATAATGTTTGATGAAAATGGTGGACTCTTATTTTTATCTATTTCAATTTTAATTAAAAAAATAATGTTTGTTAGGTCTTATTATTAATACTACTACAAAATATGCTTTGTTTTTAACATATTATAATTATATTATTATCCAAAATATAAACAATTATTTTAATTAGTCATTTCCTTGCCATACTCGTAGCTTATATTTTTGAATTTTGCTATATCTTCTTATCCGTATCGTATCAAATACGGCACCCATACCTGTGCTTTCTAGAGTGGTGGTGATTGCATGGATAGTTAATTGGGTGGCAGTGGTGGCTACATGGATGGAGCTGGTTCTTAGGGGGTGATAGTGCTTCATTGAGTGCTTTCTCAAGTTGGTGTAATGTGGTCCTCCTTTAGATTATTACATACTTCGACTTTGAGATTGATTATCAACTTTTGATTGAAAATCTGGATTAATATTTTGTTTTCCACTGGTTTCAGTCTTTGGATTTAGTCCTCCGGTGTTTGATTACGGCAGCATGATGGATCCTGAACCAGGAAGGTGTAGAAGAACTGATGGGAAGAAATGGAGGTGTAGTAGAGATGTGGTTCCAGGCCAGAAGTACTGTGAGCGGCATATGCACAGAGGTCGTCAGCGTTCAAGAAAGCATGTGGAATCTTCTAAACATATTTCAGAATCTGATACAACCATAACCATCACATCTAGTGACACCACTACAGCTATCAATTCTTATAACACCACCAATACAATTGCCAATCTCTCTGTTTCTGCCCCTCCCAATCTTCAACTCATGATTCCCTCTTCTGACTACAGCAACAATGTCCCTGCCACTGCTGAAATTACCACTACCTCCTCTAGTAGTGGCAACAGTAGAGTTAACAAAATCAATGTCATCAGTGACTCATCTGCCACCCCTATCACCATCAATTTCTGCAATAGCAACAACAGAAGCAAAAACAATGTTGGTGTCAATAGAGACGCCAGCATTAGCACCACCACATTCATCAGTGCAGTTGCTGACAAATCCAACAGCAAAGACAACAGCTACTGCATTGGTGACAAGGACACCGGATTTGGCCATTCCAATTACAGATTGGTAAGAGAAGCAGCAGCAATGTAAAAGAAGTCAAAATTGGTAGTTCTGTAGCTCCAAGATTTGGCATCTCCCCGAAGAGTGTTATTCAAGGTGGTACTGCTAAGAATAAAATCCCTTTGTCATTTGATTTTTCACTACTTATTTATTTTTGACTGATCTTATTTCCTCATGAGTTTTGAACAATTGTTAAGTTCTACATCTATTTTAGTTGGACTATCATAGACTTTCTTGAAAACAAATTGCGCTGAATTTTTTTTGTACATATTTGCTTAGTAGGTTTTTTTGATAAATGTGAAATGTGTCAAAAGTTTAGTGCATCTTACTGGCCTATTTTTTAGGAGTAGTTGAATTTATTTAGGAGTCTGCTTTGTTGATTGAGTCTTAGTCTGTTATGTTGAATAAGTCATCTTCAGATTATTGAGATATTTTAGGAGTTTGGTATTGTTATTGAGTCCAAGTTAGTTGAGTATTTGTAGGAAGCAACTTCTATAAATTAGAGTCCTGTAACTCCAGATTTTTTATCACTTCAGCAACGTTATTTGTTTCTTGTGTTCAAATAAAATTTCTTCCTCCTCTCATTTATTTATTTCTGAAACAGTTCATTTTCTTACTTAAATTGAGCTGTTAAGTTTTTTATTGAGATGGTATCAGAGCAAGGTTGTTGAGAGTTGGTTTAAGTTTTATTGTTTGTTGACTTGCTGAAGTGCTTCATAGTTTTTTTTTTCTTTCAAAATGAATGCTGGAAATGGTTCTTCACCAAATGTAGGTAAGCTTGTTGGTAATAATTACCAATATTGGAGGCTTTGCATGGAAGCTTATCTACAAGGTCAAGATTTATGGGATCTTATTGCCAGTGCTGAATCTGTAATTCCGGATGATACTCCACAGAATGGTGAGCTGCGTCGAAAATGGAGGATCAAATGCGGTAAAGCTTTGTTTGCTCTACAGACATCGACCAGTAAGGACTACGTTGATCATGTTTGTGATAAGGATACACCAAAGCTAGTGTGGGAGACTCTTGAAAGGTTTTTTACTAAGAAGAATACAATGAGGTTGCAGTATTTGGAAAATGACCTTACTGGAGTAACACAAGGAAATCTGTCTATTCCAGAATACTTTTTTAAAGTTAAAAACCTTTGTTCTGAAATTTCAGAGTTAGATACGGAGGTGCCCATCAGCGATGCACGATTGCTTCGTTATCTCATTCGTGGTCTGCGGAAAGAGTTCATGCCATTTATTTCCACTGTGCAAGGGTGGGCAACTCAGCCTTCTATTGTAGACCTGGAGAATTTGCTTTCGAACCAAGAAGCATTGGTTAAGCAAATGACCAGGCCCATCTCTGAAGTTGAGGATGTTCTCTTCACCAAAGACAAGTGGAAAAATAGAGGTGTCCCAAAGCATTCATCAAGTGATGGCAAGCAGGCAAAAGCGGAAATGGAGTCAGATGGAAATTCCAAAAGTTGCTACAGGTGTGGGAAGCTGGGGCACATCAAGCGAAATTGCCAGAGTGAAGGTTGTATGTAATAGGTGTGGAAAACCAGGCCACATCAAACAAAATTGTCATGTTAAGCTTGTGGATGAAAATGCAAATGTTGTACACGAGAACAAAGATTCTGATCAGCTCAAATAGGAGCATTGCCTTTCTACTGAAGTTGTTGAACAACCAGGTAACGTGGATTCTGTTGTGCACCAGACTATTGCACATAAGGATTCTAATATCTCCATCAATTATGAGAAGGAGTGGATTGTCGATTTTGGTTGTTCCCATCATACAACGGGTAATGCATCTCTGCTTTCAGAAGTTCAACCGCATAAGGGGAACCGAGCTATTGTTACAGCTGATAATTCAATACATCCGGTAGTGAAAGAAGGCCACTTGGATGTTAAGGTTGATAGCTCGAATGGCAACAACATTGTTTTTAGTGATGTTTATCATGTTCCGGGGTTGAAAAAGAATCTTGTGTCAGTTTCTCAAATCACCGACTCAGCTCAAATAGGAGCATTGCCTTTCTACTGAAGTTGTTGAACAACCAGGTAACGTGGATTCTGTTGTGCACCAGACTATTGCACATAAGGATTCTAATATCTCCATCAATTATGAGAAGGAGTGGATTGTCGATTTTGGTTGTTCCCATCATACAACGGGTAATGCATCTCTGTTTTCAGAAGTTCAACCGCATAAGGGGAACCGAGCTATTGTTACAGCTGATAATTCAATACATCCGGTAGTGAAAGAAGGCCACTTGGATGTTAAGGTTGATAGCTCGAATGGCAACAACATTGTTTTTAGTGATGTTTATCATGTTCCGGGGTTGAAAAAGAATCTTGTGTCAGTTTCTCAAATCACCGACTCAGGGAGGTATGTTCTCTTTGGTCCTGACGATGTAAAGATCCTTGAAAATCTAAAGCATGTTGCAGCTGATGTCCTTTCTACGGGAAAAAGGAAGGAGTCTTTATATGTTCTATCTGCAAGTGAAGCATATGTAGACAGAACAAGCAAGAGTAATAGTGCCTCACTTTGGCATGCTCAGTTAGGCCACTTTGGTTATCAAATGTTGCAGCAAATCTCCATGAAGAAACTGCTTGACGGTGTTCCCATGTTTAAGGAGGTACATCAAGATGTGGTTTGTCCCGGTTGTCAATATGGCAAATCTCATCGCCTTCCTTTTCAGAGATCAAAGAATCGTGCGTCTACTTTGTTCTAGTTGGTCCATTCAGATCTAATGGGGTCAACAGGAACACCTAGCTATAACGGTTGTCATTATGTGATGGTTATCGTGGATGACTTCTCACGGTTCACTTGGGTCTATTTTTTGGAACACAAGAGTGAAGCTTTCTCTAAGTTCACTCAGTTCAAGATGCATGTAGAGAAGGAGTTTGGGTTTATGATAAAGTGTTTGCATACCAATAATGGGGGGGAGTATCTGTCAGATGAGTTTTCAGATTATTGCAGTGAACATGGAATTCGTCGGCAACTGACATGTCCAAAGACCCCGCAACAGAATGGGGTTGCTGAACGAAAGCTGGGGCATCTCACCTCGATGAGCTTGTCATGGTTGCACGAAAAGAACCTTCCCAGAGAGTTTTGGGCAGAAGCCATGCAGTGTGCTTGTCATGTGATCAATAGGTTGCCTCCATGACCAGGTACGGAAAAATCTCCTTTTGAATTTTTATATAATAAAAAGCCAGATGTGAGTTATTTTCGGGTGTTTGGTTCGCCTTGTTATGTTCACGTATCTAAGAGTAGTCGAACCAAACTAGACCCAAAGGCAAGAAAATGTATTTTTGTTGGCTATGACTCACACAGGAAAGGTTGGAGATGTATGGATCCAGAAACAATAAAGATTGTTGTCTCTTGAGATGTGGTATTCAATGAGGGGTCGACATACTACTCTAGCGTAAATTTCAGAAATCACACAAGTGATCTAGAGTCCTTTTCTAGTAAACTTGATTCCACAGTAGTAGGGAGGAATGATATCTTATCTGAAGAAGCTGTTCCACAAGATGGGATTATGGTTCGAAGGTCAATAAGGCAGCGAAGGCAACCAGATTATTTAAGCGATTATGAGGTTCATTTAAATCATTTCACTGTAACCTCTTGTTTTCTCATGGGGGTTACATATGAAGATGAACCTAGGTGCTACAATGAAGCTCAAGGAATTGCTGAATGGGAATGCTCAGCATCAAAATACTACATGGGAACTTGTACCAAAGCCAAAGGGTGCTGAACTAGTTACATGTAAGTGGGTTTACAAGTTGAAAAGAAAGGTTGATGGCACTGTCGATAGGTATAAAGCTCGTCTTGTTGCACGTGGTTTTTCACAGCAATATGGGTTAGATTATGAGGAGACTTTCAGCCCTGTTGCTAAAATGGTAACAGTTCGAACAACATCTCTTTGGCTGCATACAAACACTGAAATTTATGGCAACTCGACGTAAAGCATTTCTCTACGGTGAGTTAGATCATGACATTTTTATGGAGCAACCGCAAGGATTTGTTTCTAAGGAATTTCCTGATCATGTGTGCCGACTCAGGAAGGCGTTATATGGTCTCAAACAAGCTCCAAGTGCCTGGTATAGAAAGATCGCTCAACATCTTACATTTTGTGGTTTTAAAGTTTCTAGTTCAGATCCTAGTTTATTTGTTAAGGCACAGTCATCGATGTACACGATGATTCTTCTTTACGTAGACGACATGATCATTACCGGAGACAACAATGCTGAAATTACAAGGCTTCGAGATGATTTGTCTGTCCGATTTGAAATGAAGAATTTGGGTGAAGTTCAATGTTTTCTTGCCTTAGAAGTAGAAAAGTCAGATGGGTATTTTATCTCTCAAAAGAGGTATGCAACAAGTCTTTTGAATCGTTTTGGCATGAGAGAATCAAAATCTATGGCTACTCCTATGGAGCCATGTCTCAAGTTATAGAAAGTTGAAGGGGAGCTACTGGAAGATGCAACAAAGTTTCGTCAACTTGTGGGTAGTTTATGCTACTTAACTATCACAAGACCTGACATTGCATACTCTGTAGGAGTTGTATCTCAGTTTATGGACAAGCCATGTGTTGGTCATATGATTGCAGCAAAGAGGATCTTACACTATGTGAAAGGAACGTTGGAGTTCGGGTTGATGTACCAGCAAGATGTTCAGTTTTCTCTACAGGGGTTTGTTGATGCAGATTGGGCTGGAGATGTAAATGACAGATGATCAACTACGGGTTATTGCTTCAGCACAGGTTCAGCCGCCGTCTCATGGTGCAGTAAAAAGCAGAATACAGTTGCTATTTCAAGTACAGAAGCGGAATATATGGCAGCAACCATGGCATCTCAAGAGTGCATCTGGCTTAAGCGATTAATTCAAGACATAACTGCTGCATTGGAGTATTCGGTCCCCCATTAAATGTGATAATGAAAGTGCAATCAAACTTGTCGGAAACCCAGTTTTTCATGCTCGCACAAAACACATTGAAGTTCAACATCATTTTGTTTGAGAGAAAGTATTAAGTCAAGAGATTAAGTTGGAGTACATATGCAGCAAGGACCAAGTTGCAGATATTTTTACTAAAGCTGTTGCTTGAGCTACGTTTGATAAATTTCGAAGTGATCTTGGTATTATTGACCGTAAGCATGCACTAAAGGGGAGTGTCAAAGTTTAGTGCATCTTACTGGCCTATTTTTTAGGAGTAGTTGAATTTATTTAGGAGTCTATTTTGTTGATTGAGTCTTAGTCTGTTATGTTGAAATAAGTCATCATCAGATTGTTGAGATATTTTAGGAGTTTGGTATTGTGATCGAGTCCAAGTTAGTTAAGTATTTGTAGGAAGCAACTTCTGTAAATTAGTCCTGTAACTCTAGATTTTTTATCACTTCAGCAATGTTATTTGTTTCTTATGTTCAAATAAAATTTCTTCCTTCTCTCATTTATTTATTTCTGAAACAGTTTAAATTGAGCTGTTAAGTTTTTTTTTTTTTGAGAAAATGTGGTTTGTTCCTCTCTACCATTCCTTGCAGTCACAGGTTGCAATAGCTCAGTCTTTGAATATAGTACTTCTGCAGATACTGATTTACAGAGATGCAGAAGAACTGATGGTAAGAAATGGCGATGTAGTAGGGGAGTTGTTCCTGATCAGAAGTATTGTCAGCGGCACATGCACAGAGGGGCAAGAAAGCTATATATAGCGTCGGAGTCGGCAATTATATCTGAGGCCACTCCTCCCACAGTTTGGAGTTCTGCTGCTCCTATTGCTAAACCTAAAAAGCTTGATAATCGCATAAACTTGAACACCAATCTCTCTATCTCAATCACTCCCAAGTCTTCAACAAAAAACAGATGGTGAAAATAGTTCTACTAGAAGCAGCAGCAGTGACGCCACCACCATCACCGACGAAAATACCAGCATCTGTAATATGGTCTCTCAATCACCATAAAATATCTGTATAACTAATACTTGTTAAACTCATAATCATGTTGCAAGCCTTTTGAGACTACCTTTGAGGAGAGATTGTCTAACGAGGAAACAGATTGTTTTGATGATAATATAGGTGATTTCTGAGTATCTTGGTATGCAATTGTTTAAGGTAATTATTCTTAGATCATTCTTTGGTATTGACAGGTTTATTCAGAACAGGGAGAGGAGGAATTTTGTTATGCTTTGAGTCTGGATTATGTTTCATCGTGCCAACATGCCATGGCAAACGGGGTTAAAGCAAGGGTTCGTGCCAAGAAACACAATTAACTGCTCATTCTTCGAGAAATACAAAAATGTATATGCCCTTCATTGGGATTTGACTCCTCTAAACCCATGGGGTGTGTTTGGTTTGATGGATAAAAGAGAATAACACTGGCTGGATTGGATAAAATAATTCAAAACTCAGCTTTGGATCCATAATATCACATGGAATAATCGTTGGGCTCAAAAAATCAGCCCTCATGCTTTGAGGCCACTTATCCCCTCTGAACTGTCTACCTTTTAACCCACCTGAACTATGGGATTTTTAACCCCACCAAAAGGATAGGTGATGTAATTACCAAAACACCCATATACAATAAATTAACTAGGGTTTTTATCTCCTTTTCTCTCCATTTGACCCCACTGGTCCCCCCTTCTTGCGAACGACGCTCGCTGGTCCCCCCTCACTTGCCCAAAGGTCTCTCTCTCTTTCTCATCTCCATTCTCTTCGTTGCTTCGTCTGTTGTGCTTCTCTGTTAACCATTTGGTGTGTTGAAGATCTTCCTGAAGAATGCGATTCGTGCTGCTGTGACCTACACTAAGCACACTCGTCGCAAGACCGCGATGGCCATGGATTGACGAGTCAAGGTATGACTCTGCACGAGTTTGGTCTTTAGGGTTTATGTCTCAAAAAAGTCTTGATATCTCAATTAGATGAAAATTGGGGGTTTAGGGTAGGTGTGGGTAATTTGGGTTTCCTTTTGGAGGTTTCTGAAAGTAGAGTTTCTATTCTACTATGTTCTTGTAATTATGTAGTTTCTACTTTAAAAAAGAGAAATCAAGAGGGTATTTAGCTTTGTTTTTGGTTTTATTTTTTTGTTTCGGGATTTCTTTAAAGTGATCTGATGAGTGAAATTGGAAGTCGCTTTTGTTGTAGAAATTTGATGAATTGAATTGCTTTGTTTTATTCAAATTTTTATTCTTTGTTTGGTTGATAATCATTTAATTCCTGATAACCCTGGATGATTGTATGATCTTGTGTTGTTAAACAAACGGTTTAAACATTATAAATATATAAATATTTTTTAAACTCTATAATATACTAAATCATAATTTTGCTTCCAAATAAGTACAACTTATTTTATGGCTTCAAATTTGTTAATAGTTACCGAGTATAATGGAGAACCTACCTTGAATTTGGCTGCTTCTTTTTTTTTATTATGGTACCTGCTCGAATATGATTGCTGAGTTTAGAGCTTAATACGATGGTTTGCAGCTAATTATGAAATATGGTCTGAATTATTATGATTTTTTAATTGAATGTGATTCCATAGTTCTTGTGAATTCTATTTTGGGAGGTTGTGAGAGCCCTTGGGCTGATAGGTTGGCTGCTCAAGCTGTGTTGAGTAGGAGGTCTGTGGAATTTTTGGTTGACTTACAATTGACTTTTGAGGTTGGAAATGCTCTACTCAGTGCTCAGAGGGGACTACTTGTTCTGCGCAAAAGGAAGACTCTGGTTTTTTATGATAAGGGTTAAGGCTACTTCTAAATTTTTGTCTTTGAGGAAGTGTTGATTTGTTTGAAATTTTTTTGAAGAAAATGGTGGTTGTGATGAAGATCTTGGGCTGGGAGATGCATGATGTTTGAGAAAGTTTTCTGGTTTTGGTTGTTTAGAGGCTGGTTGTGCCTTGTTTGAGTTTGCTTTGTTTTTTGTTAGGCGTTTGTGCCTTATCTTTGTTTCTGTTTGTGTCTTATCTTTGTTTCTTGTAATCTTCTGTTTTGTGAATAAATAAAATTTTATTGATTGAATTACACTTCCTTGTAAAGGGTATAATGGCCATTTCATTTAAATTGATTTGGACATATGCATGGAGCCCAAAGTTCACATTATTTCTATCCAAATCAAGTATTGGATTTAATAATATTGATTGGATCCAAAATAATTCGAATTACTTTACTTTGGATTAGATTCGAATTCAAAACCAATTCAATCCTTCCATGGCTATCCAAACACCCCCACGATGGATTGGTTCAACACCCATACAAAGAACGAGATGTAAACACATCCTAGATCCGAGTCTTGCTGTTCACAAACCCAAGTTAAACTAATGTGCATATTGTGCGGGTAACAACCATGAGTCCAAAGAAAGCATAATTACCAAGATTTTTTTCTTTTTTTTGAGTCTTCTTCAAAAGGCTATTTTTGGATTTAAGCCAACCTGCGGAGGTTCAAGACATACTTGTTCACCGCTTTTACTTGATGGTGGAAGGAGATTTTACCATGCCAATTGATACCGAGTTCAACCAACCTATCAATTTGATGAAAGGAAACTAAAGACTCCTATCTTAATTGCAATTAAACAAGCCAGTAGTCAGCAACTTTGAAAATGCATGTAGTCCGAAAGGAGAAAAGTTCAAATTCTTGTCCAGGTTTTTTAAGCAAATCAGTAATTGCATACTTAATGTTAACAGATTAGGGAAGCTTTTATCTGATTAAGGTGGTAGGTGCAGGAAAACACAGATGATATCAAGTTACAAAAGATGACGAAAGGTTAGAAGCTACATAATGAACTGAGTAGTCGAGCTGTTCTACCACAACATTATAACATCAGAAACAGAGTGCAACCTAATTCCTCGATCATCAAGAGATGGGAACGAAATTACTCCGGTCAGCTTCAGCAGGTACCAGTGGGATCAGCATTCTTAATTATCCAAGGGTGCTCTATAATCTTCTGAAGAGAGAGCCTTTTTGACGAGTCCTTCACTAGAAGCTGCATAAAGTTAAGGCGACATTTTTACCAATGCAATTATATCCTTTTGCTGCTAAACATGAAATTGTGGACATACTTGCTAGTCAACTTACCCGGCTAATGAGATCTTTAGCTTCTGCAGACACGTAAGGGGTGGAAGGGAAGCTGAGGTCAACCTTCATAATCCTATGTGCAATTCAATTTAAATTCATGATCTACGACTGTTCCGCTTCAAAATAATGATTTACAAACACCAGGTGAAGCAACATATTATCCATTCCTCACCTTCTGAATGTATCTGATTGGCTCTCTGCCTCAAATGGAGGCGCACCATACAAAAACTCATAACAGAGGATACCCAAAGTCCAATTATCAACTGCATAGTCATGAGCTTTGTTCTCCACCATTTCTGGTGCTAAATAGTCCAAAGTTCCACACATAGTGTGTCTCTTGCTTCTTGATTGTACAGACCATCCAAAATCAGCAATCTTCAGTCGGCCCTACAATTGTAACTACAGTAATTTTACTTAAATATGGAACCCAAATTTTATGGCATGTTCTGAACTTTTGGACTAGTAATTGGTTTAATAACTACTGGTGTGGAATGTCAAGGTTTCAGCTATTTCAACCAAAAGGCTGAAAAGCCTATATTGTCAAAATTATAATCTTGTTAGGCAGATTGCTGAAAGAAACATTAATTTTCACCAACTCAATTGTGTGCATATTGCTGAAATCATGCTTCATCAGACACTTATCACATGTTGCAACATGAAGTAAACAAATCTCATGGTTTTAACTTTTAAGGAACCTAAGTAAATCTCATGAGTCATAGTTCAGTTAATGAAAATGAAGGAGCAAAATCCCCATCCTGGTGACCCATGTAACAATTTCTTGTTTCAGCTTTCTAAATTAATCTTAACCAAATGAATCACTCAATAATACAATTGATTAGAAGTCTTAGGACTATTCTTGTTCACTAAATTCAATTTCGGGCCATAGCAGATAAATCATCTAAACGTCAATGTGCAGTTCTCGTCTCTCCACATAATCGGGAAGAAACCCAACAAATGAGTAGAAAATTCAGCTGCTTCAACAAATTGAAAGCCATTATAAGGGTTTCAGGAGCATTACCTCGTGATCAAGCAACAAGTTCTCCGGCTTGATATCCCTATGAATCACATGCTTCTCATGACAATACGTCAACGCTTGTGTAAGACTCAAAATGTACTGATAACACAGAAAAGTCTAAATCAAACTACAAAAACCACTAAAATTTAAAAACAAAGTAATAAATATATAAAAGAAATCAACTAAGACAAAATACCAGAAACCCCCTAAATACAAACAAGGCATAAAACCCTATCATAATTCAATTGAAATTGACAACTGTTGACTGAAAACCCCAATACCGAAGTATATTATATCAGACGCACACATGTGAATTTTTGAGAGAGAAAGAGTTGATTACAGTGGCGGCTTGTTTTTTGGTGAGATAGCCAGTTTTTCGGAGCTCCTTATAGAGCTCACCACCATGGGCATACTCCAAAATCAAGTAAATTCTCTCTGCATCGTGAAACCAACCGAAGAGTCTCAAAACATTGGGATGACGAAGACTGGTCTGGATCTCCATCTCTCTCCTCAACTGGTGGTGCAACCTGTACTTCTCTATCTGCTCTTTGAATATCACCTTCAATGCCACTATATACTTGCTCTGTAACAGGAAACCAAAATTTTCAATTCCATGGCAATGGAAATCAAATTCCTCTACAGAATCAGTGTTCTCTCTCTCTCTCTCTCTTCATACATGTAGCAAAGTGTGTGCGTGTGTGTGTACCTTGGTTTCTCGGGCGAGGTAGACGCGGCCGAATCTGCCTTTGCCAAGGGGTTTTCCAATCTCGAAGTCTTGCAAGGACCATTGTTTTTGGGGCTTCTTTTCAGTTTGGGAAGGCATTTGCTTGCAATTGATTCGGAGCCACAGTTGAAGATTGGAAGTATGTGTGTGTGTGTCTAAGAGAGAGAGAGAGAATGCCAAGAGTCTAAAAAGTTGACAAATAAATGTTGTTTAGTAAAACATTGTTTTAGGAGATCATCATATCCGTATTACCCTACTATGTCAGGGGTGACCAATTATTTAAATCTAAATTTAATTTTTTTAACTATATTAATATTCAATCCGATTATGTTCGATTCATATTATATATACCTATAAACAAATATATGAAGAAATAAAATTATTATTTGATAAAAGTGAGTTGAAACTCAAGTAAAATTTAAGGCTTGTTTGTTGGTATTTTTGGGATCGTTTGGTAACGTTTTTGTTTTTGTATCTTCAAAAAAATAAAAAACTGAGACAATTTTGAATATATTTTGTGGTAAATACTGAAACGGAAAACATGTTTAGGAGTCATTTTTATCTATCAAATTATGAGAATAAAAATAAAAAACATGTTTGGTAACTACTTCAAGTTTTATCTTTATTTACTTTTATGGTCAAGAATATACATTACTTTTATTTTTATTTACAAAATTATAATAATTCATAATTGATGTTAAGAGTGAAATGAAAGAGAAGCAAAAGCAATGTCTGCAAGCCACCAAGCTCCAACCTCCTCCATCTTGGTTGGCACCAATTTGCTCTCTCTCACAATCTCATCCCACACTGGACCTTTGTCCTTCATCATCTCCACCATGCTCACCTTCTCTTTACCCTCTTCATACCCCACCATTCTTCGGGTTTTGGAACACATTTCATGTTAAGAAGTAAATGAATATGAAAAAAAAAATAGGGGTCGTTTGATAACCTTTGACAATGCTGGTAAAAGAGTGAGTTCCAAGACATCATGATAGAGTTTGATATTAATCACACATAATACACACATTCACACACACATATATAAATGTAATAGTGCCATCAATGTTGGAGAAAAAGCCAGGCGACGTTGCAAACATGAATCAGAAGCAGTTTATAATCATCATTTCCCCCAAGCAGATGTCTAAAACCCATAGTCTTACATGATAATTTAGCCATAAGAAACGAACACAACATTACACTACACTAGCATAGAAACAGCTTCTGCACATAAATTCCAAGAACATTTCATGTTTTCCAACTTTGCTCTATGCAAGAATAGTGGGGTTGATTAAGACTAACATTAAAACTAATTCAGTAAATCATCAGTAAATAAATCAGTAAATAAAGAACTAAATCAGTAAATTAATCAGCTCGGTGATTTGCAGAAGCCAGACATACACTGCAGAAAAATAACATAAAACTTATATGAAACATAAAAACACAGATGTAATAATGATTAAAGAGTAAATCAGTAAATTAACAGAATTAAGAACAAAGGGGTCACTAACAAAATGGTTCATTAATCATCCCTCCCTGCTGATACACAGCCTGACCTGGGTGGCCAGGTGGGTTTGATATTGGGTTGTCATCGTTGTGGAAAAGGGATACATCTCTCTCTCCCCTCTCTTCACTGCTGCCACACACTCCTACACTTACATATATGCATACAATGCAGTACTCATAAAAGTGTAAAGAATTAACGGCTCTCTATGTTTCTTTCAGTGAAAGTGAGAACAGATCCAAAAATCAGTAGAATCAAAATCAGAAAACTAGCTGCCCCCAAAAAAAGCTGTTCATTGATAGACAAAAACTCAATCAATAATGAAATCTACATACAAATATACAGATCTATGCATATTGTGGTGGAAAAAATACAGATAAAACAAAAAAAAAAATTCGATTAGTGTCTGTGGTGTACAGATCTATGAATATCTATGCATATATATACAGATCTATGTATATATATACATATATCATACAAGTAAAGGGATTACACTTACCTTCACAGCGAATGGAAGCTTCTTCTTCGTCGATCTGTGAGTGGAAGCCCCTCCGTCTTTGAGAGAGAGAGAGAGGAGAACAGAGTCGTTGACAGCTCGGAGAAGAGAGAGGGCTGAGAGAGAGAAGAGAGAGTCGTTGCTAAGAGAGTTGCAGAGGAGAGAGAAGAGAACAGAGGGGCTGTTCGAGTGTGGTCTGTGAGCACGAAAATGAGAGAAAGACCCATATTTATAGT